GTAGGAAATTTACTAAATATCTTCATGGAACATGCTCTTTACTTAATATCCTAATGATTTTTGGCATCAAAGAAAAATTTATAATTTTGACCCATACTATGTATCGTTGGCTATTGCTACAAATATACCCCAGCGACTTAAGACTGCTTTTGTGCTCCAGGGTCACATATGAGAACTATATTGCAGACAGTGTTGAGGAAAGTTACTTTTAAAAGTAATGCATTACAATATTGTGTTTCTCCATAAAAAAAGTAACTAATTGTGATACTTAGTTACTTTTTATTGGAAATTAATGCATTACGTTACTTTTGGGCTGGGCTTGCTTGTTTTTAATATAAATAAGCCATTCTGGATTGCATGAAGAATAGGACGCAGGTGTGACAGGAGTCCACTGAAGGCGAGTTGAAGAACCCATGTGCAGTTTCTTAAAAAAAAACAAAATACAAACTATACAAATACTTGACTTGACTTGGCATAAACATGGACTTGAACAGGAACATAAACTCACCTAACAGCAGGTTACACTGAACAAAGCTAGACTAAGGACACTGGAAAAATGAGGGCTACTTATATCAACCAGTAGGGGTCACATGACATAATCCAACCAATGAACACATGACACATACAACCAAGGAACCAATCAGAACATAACACATGGACAAAAGGACCACATGGCAGGATCACATGACAGCACAGGAACCATAATCATGACTGACCACAATAAAAGACATGAAAACATGAACATAAACCAAACGTGTCAGGAAAGTTCAACACTCTTTAAAATGAAACACAAATGTTATGTTTATCTAAAATCAGTTTTGTTCATTAGTATGATTGAATTGGATTTAATTGAATGTTTTCCTATAGTAATGACTGATTAATTTAAGGTAAATAAATTCTGACATTCTCCACACTAAATGCATGACAACACAAAGTGTTTTTACCATGCATAACGCAAGTGTTTTTATTTATTATAACATAACTCCCACATTCCTTCTCGTGTCTCTTGGACAGTGTGAGTCGACTGCAGAGATTAGAACTGTTATAGAGTTGCACAAGAGACACGTTCAGACTCTTTCTCACCCTGCTGTGATCTGATGTGGCCCTTTGCTTCTATATTAGTGTGTCAAAATGCACTTTTAGGGCAGGGTGGTCAGATCTACATAACCTCCACTGCCTCTGGGTATTATTTTCTCAAGATCAGAGTCTATGTAATGTGATGAGACTTTGTCAGTTAGGATCATTATTTCTCTGAAAGCATAATCCTCATATTATATAGAATTTTTTTGCAACTTTTTTTTTTTTTTTGACAATGGAAATAGAAAGAAGGTCTCTGTGGTCTGTGGAGGGCAAAGATCACATATCCAAATCTGGTCCTGTAAATGCCTCACTGTGATGAACATACAAACTGCATGTCTCTTGTCCAAAGCAGGTGACATTATTCCTGTGAAGGTGTTTATTCACGTGTCTGTTTCACAGGTCAGAATGAAATGAGAAGAAGTGTTTGTCCACTGTCTCTCTTTCTCTTTTTCTGTCCATTCTTTCTTGATTTCTGTCTCTCCAGAGTAAGAGGGGGTTCTGGAAGCACAATCAAAACCAGATGGACTTATTATGGCCTAAAGACAATAAATATCATTGTCAGAGGGACCACCAGCATTAAGCCTTCATGCGTGTACTGAACACACACTCACGCACACACACACAGGTTTGTTTTTGTGAAAAGTGGGGACATCCCATAGGCGTAATGGTTTTTCTACTGTACAGACCATATATTCTATTGCCCTACACCAACCCTACACCTAAACCTACCCCTCACAGGAAACTTTGTGCTATTTCAGATTTTCAATACACTCCATTCTGTGTGATTTATAAGCGTTTTGAAAAGTGGGGACATGGGGTAATGTCCTGAAAAGTCACCTTCTCCTTGTAATACCTATGTCATACCCTTGTCATTATACAAATTTATGTCCTCATTTGTCACAAAAACGCGCGCACACACACACACACACACTCTCACACACACACACACACACACACATACACACAGACAGACATAAATATATTATATAATTAAATATGTAATACTAATGACTGCATGCTTTTAAAACAGCTTGTAATGTGCTTGTCTGAATGTCATTATGTTATATAAAAAGGTAACACTTTAAAATGTTTCACTGGTTAAAGAGTTAATCTGAAGTAGCAATGAACAAAACAGTACTTACAGTATTAATGCCTTACAACCTGAAGGTATTTTTACTGATTGTGCATAGGTAGCACAATTTAAAGCTTATGTAGCATAAGATTATAACTTAAAAAAAAAAAGTAGCATCGATTACATAATCTCATTTGTGGGAAAACCTTTCAAAACTGTAAAATAATAGATTTAGATCATGTCTGGAGACTCTCACGTTACAAGACTGCTAAGAAAGCTCCAGAAAAAAAAAAATTGTTTGTGATTTTT